TACGGGCTGCCCACGACGCACGGAAGAAGATTCTCTCCCTGGCGACCGCCAAAGGAAATCTCGACCCGCCCCAACTTTCGAGATCTCAAGCTTCGAATACTCACTCATGATATCGAGACATCTGAATTCATCATCTATACTGCTGTCGTGACAGCTCAGTTTTTGGATAGATTCCATAACCCGTTCAGGGTTCCTGCGGGATCTGATGAATCAGATCTGCCCCAAATGGACATCAGTTATACCAGAGTCCCAATCTGGCCAATTCTTGGCTTGCGGGAGCGATTTGGAAAGGCTTTGGGTCAAGATGTGGTGGGCTATTTTTCTCCAGACAAGGTTGAGACCTGGGAGGTCGACCCTGAACCAACGGAACCCGCCGCATCCGTTGAGCCCACAGCGGCGGTTAAACGGAAGCATGAGTCACTCAACGACGCACTCAATGTAAACTATGAAGGGGAAACGAGTGAGTCCGAAGTGGATGAGCCAGCTCTTAGCGCAAAGAAGAGATGCCTTAGTGAGGGATCTCCTATAGGAGTTGTGGTGTGACATCCGGGCTTCTGGCTCAGGGCGCTACAATCGCTCAAGTTTATACTTGCCCGTTGCCTTTGGTTTTAACCATCTGGGTTTGCCGGCCTTGTCCGTTCATTGAACCTCGGAATCCGACGATTGTCGCCTCCCAAGTATAGGGATACAATCAAGGATAAACAATGGCGCCATCTATGGACAGGGTTTCATCGATCACTTGCATCATACTGGCTATCCTGGCTAGATGGCGCTGCTATCGAGCCTCGATGTTAGGAGCACACATTTTCACCTCCCCTTGATCGCCAAAACTACAGGCCCCTGTAGCGAAATCTCGTCGATCAGTATTCAACTGCATGATACGCGTTTATTTTGTTCAGTTGGTCACTTGACCTCTGTGGAGTTACTCTAGACTTGCATCAGCGTAGACAGGTCATGCCATCACAGGCATCATTGGTTTTTGGCGTTAATGAATTAGGCATAACAAAGGCGAACGAGGCGCAAGGGACTGCTAATACTGGTCATTTCAATGATTAGACTTCGGGGGTCTTTCTGCATTCCAGACATGATCATGATGAGAAGATATCCATGGCAGCATCAAAGTTAGATATAGAATTCATTTACAGAGCTTCTTTTTCCATTCTTGATCAAGATCTCCCGAATTATCCCACCCTGTAGCACATTCTGCATTTGACAATTTGTGAAATCGTCTTGTAATTGTAATTCTAGGGATGGGTTCTATATACATCTCTTCGAACTATCTATGGCCATTTGTGTGCATTTTGTTTCAACGTCAGGGATTACCGCAAAGAGCAAACGGGCTCCTGAATAACTCTGTAAGTACCTATCCAACACACACACACAGGCCTGAATTTTCGAATGTATGGACAGTACATAGGTACCTTAGGTCAGGAGAGGCAAGTTACTAGGGCTAGTCTGCGATGAGTTCATCATAGACGGAGAGTCGATGGTCCGGGTATTACAAACGGTAAGTGGTGTTTAGAAGGGCAAACGACGGCATGGATTTCACCCAAGAGGCTTCCTCGCTGCCATTTTAACTGGGGAAAAGAAGTACACCCTTCTTTTCCCCTTGACTACAAGTGATAATCCGCGATGATTATCCTACCGATCATAGGTGTCGCATGCAGATGGGGAAGTCAAGTAACTAGTATGGCTTTGTGACTGACATCTGGCGGATAAAGCAGGGATGGAGTTTCCCCAATATGGGGAAAGAAGATCTTGTGATGGGGCATGCACATCAGCTGCCAGGTTACAGGGGTGGTGATCCCTGCCAGATGCATATTCACATCGTGCCTTCGTGACTGATACGGATGGAAGGGACTGATCTCTTCATCAGACTCTTGACCCCGCAAACCAAGGAGCCGGGTCAATACCACCTCGGTATGCCATGCGTTTCATTCGTCTCATGTTACAGTGAACCCTTGTAATGTGTGCCATTCTGTGAGCACGTGCTCATCCAGATCATCGCGGAATGTAACCAGGACGTTCTCCTGCCTGGGGAAGAAAGGTCTAAAGCCGAGGTATTGGTACACTCTCAGGTACGGGAACCGATGGTTTACTAAGCCGATGATGCCCTCTGCTCTACAAGAAAACATTATCGCCTAGGGAAGAGTGAGACACTCTAGAAGGAGACAAACTGCCTGCGATCTTCTGGATATCTGGGGGAGGGTTGTAGCTTTAGTCAACTGGCATGTGTGGCGCCACGGGTCTCCTCTCTTTCGGCAGAGGTCAGATGGCCTTGTGTGATAGTGATATTAAAGAATGGCAAGTCGTTACTTCGAGGGGCTCTCATGAACTCCGGTGGCATAGTCCCGTAAGAGCCTGCGAACGACCTAGAAGGACAGGCCATATATGGCCGGATAGTAAACCAAGCTGGTTGTACTGGCTCTATTAACAGAGTCGACTGTCTCCGGAAAGTAGACTATGATGCCTTTCTCAAAGCGGCCAATTTTATCCCCGTATCGTCTCGTTCAATCTGTCTGCCCTTTCTTATACCCCCAGTCTTGATGGCACAACTCTGCCCAAGACTCCTGATATCCTCGTTAGCGAGGGTCGCTGCAACCCGGCGTGCATGATTATTGGAGATCAGGAAGATGAAGGGACGATCTTCACGTTATTCCAATCCAACTTATCCAGCAAGGACAAATTGGCTGGCTACCTGAGTCGACTTCTTATCCGGGGTTATCATCGGCCAGTTTACCTCGTATGTCGACGCATGTGATGTTGCGATCTTGGAGGCAGGCCCTTTCGCACGGGTATTCTCAACGACTGGTAGCCTGGGTTCAAGAGCTTGGCTGATATCTTTCGCGACACGGTCTTCACATTGGCCCAGCGCGTCTTCATTGAACGTATGTTGGCAGAGAATCCAAATGTGCCAGTCCTTGTACCTCGCTTCCTAAGATTACGGTACTTCCATTAAGACACCTTGCACGCGTTGGATATCCTTCAGAATTTTCTTCGGCGTTTTCCCTACTAATGCAGTGGCTAGCTCTCGCACGTCCTACCTCAGTTTTCCCCTACAGCCAGGAGCCTAATGTAGGTGTTCGGAAGTACCTAAGATGGCCGCTCCGAAGAGAGAGCAAGCGTCTACTGTGGTTGAAGACGAGCAGTCAGAACAGTATCTCGAAAGACGACTTTAAAGACGATACGTCGAGATGAACAACCCCGACGCGCTGCGTGCTAGTTCTGGCGGTTGGTAATACCCTTGGAGATGATCTATAGATGTATCTTGTTCCGAGAGAGGTGATATTAGATTATGAAGAGAAGTTGTTGCTTTGCCAACAAGAGAGCCATTATCTAGAGGGCATTCTCGAATGGCCTACCCTATTCGGAAGGTTGGCTGGTGGATGTTGTTGAGGTGCCAACGCTTTGCCCTCGAGTAAGCAAGCTCGTCATTTGGAAGCCACTAGCCGCTTACGACATCAGCTAGAAAATCTGCCCACAAATCTGATCATGATCGACGGTAGCTTCCTTAGGTCGTTTGAATACCCCTGGCAGGTGTATCAGGCCAGCCACCAGATCAGAACATGGCAATTTCTCCAATCAGACCGAGCGGGATGGGAATTGGCCAGAGAGGCGTAAACAGAGCATTGAAATTCGCATTCAGAGCTGAACCAGCAGCTTTTTGGAATTGCTCCCAGCGCGTGCGCGTTGACCGACTTGCGTAGTGCGAATGGATCCTTGCTTACTAGTGCAGCTTGAAACGTCGTAGGCCGGGCGCCAAGTTGAGAACGAAATAACACGACAGTCACGTGGCAGGGTTTGCGGACGAAAGGGCTTCAGAACTGGGCAGATGGAAATGGCCAGGTTGAGGGAAGGATTGTCTCGCGAGGGATTTGTGTTGTCGAGAGTCTGTCAGGGACCGGCGTTTGGTGGTTGGCTCTGTGTTTTGGTGCGAGTTGGATTGGGGCCATGCCGAGGTAGAGTGCATCGTGTGTTGCCAAGTTGCTTCTGGCCCCCAACTCAAGGATGACAATTGCGCAATTAACGAACTTTGGGCCGATAGTAGCCTGGTTGGTTCTGGTGGATAGATTCGGCGGCTATTAAGCACAGCACGCGAGTCAAGAGCTCTCGGTTGCAGCCATCGTTCGTTCCTGGCGTTTTCGCGGAGAGGAAGCATTAAACCAGGTATATTCGGACCCTGTCAGCTCGTGTGATGCCAAGGAGATCCTCCAGGTTTCCCCAGATGCCACCCAGTGACCTCTGTGTTGTCAGGCAGCTTCTGGAACGCAGCTCGGCAGCCATCTATGCATCGTGATTCATGCCTCATGTCTGGCGACGGATTTGCAATTGCTGGGGTAGTATTGGTTGGCGGGAGCTCCAAGGCGTGTTGGAGAAGGAGGTCAGGGGACCAGCCCGCGCAGCAGGACAGCTGCAATGCTACCAAGGCCGGCACCGCAGACGAGTATATAACAGAATCAACTCTCGTAGCATCGCGTCCTGTCCTGTGTTGTCTCGTGCCGTCGTCGTAGCCGGCCGGAACCAGCCGTTTCGGTTGGACATAAGGTTTTCCATTTCTCGGCTTCAGCCCCGCAGATCCACTTGGCCCTCGTACGTCTTGGGGAAGGCAATGGGACGACTTCTCATGCTATCGACTATCCTGGACTATGCATCGCCTTGTCCTGCCTCTCGCTCCGTGCTGCTCGTCCGTGTACGTGCAATCGACCATCCGCTCACCTGACCAGCCCACCGAGCCACGAGCCGCCGTGCGTCCGTAACCTGGCCCTGCCTGCCACCGTCGCCTGCTGCCTCTCACATCTAAAACAAGCTTGCGACTCGAGCCCCGCGGTAAACGAGACGGCAATTGCGAAAAAAAATCCGACCTTCCTTGCGTGGTCACGAGGGTACCTGCTGCTTCTACGACCAGGCCCAGCTGCAACGACCCGCCGAATCGCCCGCGATATTTGGCTGCTACCCGCCTCTGCGTAACCTCGGGGGCCCAATGGGATCATCGCGCCGCAATGGCTGATCGGAAGGCCGCCGCTACGACTGAGAGTAAAGCGAATATGAAGGACGAGGCCACCAAGACGGCCAAGGACAAGGACGACCTCATGGCCGCCGCCAACAACCAGCACAAGAGCCCCAAGAAAAGGCGCAAGGTCAATCACGGTACGTTGCTTTCTATATACCCGTCCGCTGCTCTTACCGCCGTCAATTCGGTTAGGCATCATGGGCGCCATGCGTGTCTCTGAGCTTGCTTTTGCTTCTTCCCACATTAAACCCCCCTCCCCCTCCGCGCCCAACCACCCACCCCAGGGCGTCCGTCCAGAGCTGCGCGTTTCTCCCCGAGCCATGTGTTCGTTCTGTTGGCTAATGTCGCCGGTCTGATCCGCCTGTCGTGCAGCTTGTGTGTACTGCCGCAGATCTGTAGGTGAAACCCCGGTGTGTAATGGCTTGGGTACGGAGGAGTGCGTCGTGCTGCAGCACCGCCCTGCCTCTGTTCCGCCGCCCGACCGATGATATGATGCGCTCTTCTTCTCATGCTGACTGACTCTCTTCGTCTCCTGCCAGCATATGACATGCGATCTCGTACGTAGGACCCTGATCTTGCCATCCCTCCGTCCCTGCATTGCGGCCCGCGCGCTTGCGTGTCGCAAATCGCAGTTGGGCTCCTAATGGCCTCCCGTCTGCTCTGCAAGGGGGGGCCTCTGCACCGATCCCGGCTGTAGACTGACATGACGAATAGGAGAGACCATGTACGAGATGCATTAAACGTAATATCGGCCATCTTTGCCACGACGAGCCTCGAGATGCCGACTCCAAGAAAAACAAGAACGCCACCCAGGGCGCACCATCCGTTGCTGCTTCAACCATTGAAGACTCGCAGGACGCCCGGTCTGACGTCGGTCGTAGCTCTGTTTCGAGCACCATGGGCCCGCCACCTGTGTTCGATGGTACCGGCCGGCCACGAGCTTCGTCGGGCTTTGGCGCTGGGCTGCTCGGCCAGAGGAACACGCTGCCGCTTGTGCAACAAGCCGCTGCTGCAGCAGCTGCAGCAGGGCTCCAAGGTAATTCGCTGGGAACGAGCGCCACAGGAAATGCGAACCAATGTACGTCTCTTCAGCCCTCGTTTCAGGTCCCCCCTCACCTCAATACGGCTGGCTGCTCTTCTACCTCTCCCGCTTCCCCTCCCCTTCCCTCGTGCTGCACGTTACATGAATCATGGTCTCTTTCTCCGGAGAGCACTCAGTTGACACGGCCATTACAGTCGCAGGATTCTCAGACGCCTGGATGACCGCGCAGAACTTCCAGGACATGAACAACTACAACCCCAACTACATGATTGCCCCCGAGGTCTCGCACGAGTTCAATCTATTAAACGACTTTTTGCATACCAGTCTCCTTGACGATACCGGCGTGGCGCCGGATGATACCTCGCAGAACCAAGCCTTTGTGCGAGCCATGAAACAAGAAATGCTTTCTGGCTTTGGAGCTGGCGGCCTGGCTGGAGGGGCAGGCCAGGCTGCCAACGTGCCTCCCGGGGCCATGATGCCACCCCCGAACCTAGATGGCAGCTCTGGTCCCCTTCCCGGCAACGCTATGCAGATCGACAAGGACAAGACACGCGAATACTACCTCCAGGCTGCGGATCCATCTGGGAGCGACAACCCGGAAGAACGCATGCTTCGTGTGCTCAAGGCGAAGTACGATGCAGGCCTCCTCAAGCCGTTCAATTACATTAACGGGTATGCGCGACTTGGCAAGTATCTCGACGGCCACATTGCCGCCTCTTCCAAGCAGAAGATTCTGAGAACAATCAACCAATTCCGTCCTAAGTTCAGAGAGAAGGCCCAAGGCTTGACGGACATCCAGCTTGTCTACGTCGAGATGTGGTTCGAGAGGCAATTGATGGACTACGACCGCGTCTTTGCCAGTATGGCAGTGCCCGCGTGCTGTTGGCGGAGAACTGGCGAGATCTTCCGCGGGAACAAGGAGATGGCTGAACTTATCCATGTTCCCGTCAACCAATTACGAGATGTGAGTGTCCCTGCATGCAGCCCTGAGAAGGCTTCCAATCCGTGGGGTGTCTGTGTCGATGATAACCGGATGGATCAACCTTTGACCACATTCGCTAACCTACGACAGGGCAACATTGCGCTGCATGAAATTCTCACAGAAGAATCCATGGTGCGGTACTGGGAGGAGTTTGGAACCATCGCTTTCGATCCTGCACATGACACCCTCCTGACAGCGTGTTCATTAAAACACCCAAGTGATACATCCGATCACCCAGTTATAAAATGCTGCTTCTCGTTTACCATTCGAAAAGATGACCATAAATTGTAAGTCTGATATTCCGAGTTCGGCTCACGTTGTTGTTCTGATGTCCATGGACTTGAAACTGACTCGAATTCAGGCCTGCTCTCATCGTTGGCAACTTTTTACCCCATGATCCCCCTTCGAATTAAAAATATCCAGTTTTGGTTTTGTTTGTTTGTTTCCTTCTCTGGCGCCCAACCAAGGATTGCATACCCAAAGCGAATCAATTCCCTTATCCCGACCTGTTATGGCTGGAATCAAGCGTCTACGAAAAAAGGACGCAGTATCGTCGCGGACCCCAAAAAAAGAATATTCATCTGCATGCAGATAAACAAGGAGTTTATAGTTTTGACAGGCGTTCAGGGTTGAACAGGGCCATTTTCACCGTCTCGACAGAGTTCCGGTCACAGTTCTGAGCTCTTGGTTTTTGTCTTGGTTTCTTTCTCTTTACAAAAACCTTGCAAGCATACTTATACGTTTCCCCCCCATTGTTCTACATGCTCATGAAGACGTTGTCGGACATGAATCCCATGTATATAGAACAGATCTTTTACATTGTCTATGCACCTTTCCATCTGGGTCAGGTGCTTATAGAAAGTACTGCTTGTGCTCATTTTTTGACGTTTCATTCCGCTCCATTTGTGCACCTCAGACTCTTCTTATGCGTGATGATAAGGTAAAATCCAAGAACTTTGGGAAAGTGCGGTCTGGGTCAAATCCGAGTCGCGCCTGCCCACTTGGTGCTTGTACTGGCGGAAGGAACATCCCTTCCAAGCATTCGGCCTCGGCAGCGCTTCTTAATGTTAACGGCGGTGCTCATCTTCCAGCAGAGACTCATCTCTCACATTAAAGTTCTGACTTCTCGCTCGCCCATTACGCAGCTAATCAACAACCAGTCGTTGCAACCCGAGAGCTTGGCTTCTCCTGCGAATATCCTCAAACACTACCAAGGCCATGGGTAGATTCGACCAGGCCGCCGGGCGTGAAAAGCGTGATAAGAAACTCCAGCCTGTCATTGGTACCGCCCTCCCTGGAACTCGCAAAAACCCTTGCGTATTGTTAACGGCGAAGTTTGTAGATTTCGCAAGACACGTCCACTCCAACCTCGGCCACCCACAAACGTCCATCTCCGGTATCAACCTCCAGTCCGAAATCAATCATCAGATCAGTATCGTCACCGAGTTGTCCCATAAATCGCCACTCGGGATCTCGCCGCGCATAGCGAAAGAATTGGAGAGAAACGGCAAAGACCTCTGGAATCTATGTATTCGATTGAGGAGGGATAATGCTCAGGGCCCCGGGGTATCTCTCCTTCTTCTCCGGGCGCGCGTCTTCTCGTTCCATCTTCTTGAGCTGGGGCGTGGTGCTAACCGCGGGAGGAGAGATAAGGAGTCCGAGATTGTGTACATGACCGGCTTGGTTCTCACGCTCGGGAGGTTATGCCTGGATGACGAGGATCTGGACTCTGCAAGAATCATAATGCAGAAAGCTACCAACTATATCGAGCGACTACACAGCCTGGCCCAGGAAGACGGTCCAAACAAAAGCAGGATTGCACTTGAAGCGGACTATCTTGTTGTGAGGATAGCTCTGGTAAGGCTTTGCCTCATATCTTCCCAGTTCTTGTTGGCTAATCGGACCTTTCAAGTCGTGGAAAGAAAATCGCCTTGGCGTGGCAGAGCATATATTCAGCAAGGCAGAGCAACTCACAAATACCCTTGAAATCGCATCGCTCGAAATGATGGCCGATACTCTACGACACGTAGGCGCCGACTTGCACGCAAAGGGGGACCTACTCATGGCGATAAAATGGCTCAAGAGAGCATACAATGCGTTGAATTCCCGCCCATTGGACCATCTTTCGGTAGAAGGCCTTGATACTCGCCTTTGTGTCTGTCAGAATCTTGTGCTCAGTTTTCTGAAGTCTGGATCACAGGAGCATGTTTCCGAAGCGAAAGATCTCGTCTCATCTATCGAATCAGAGATTGGAGATAAGCCCATTGTTTTACACTGGAAACTGGAAATGCTTCAACAATCTCCGCCAGAATTGATGGATATGGACAACTACGCGGGGATATTACGGCGTATGATTCGCGTACTTGATTTTTCAGAGGAAGAGTTTCAGTTTGTCCTATCCCATATTAAAAGGCTCCGCAATATGAACTCCAAATTAGCCTGTGGCGTTCTTGATGATCTATTAACACATCGTGTTCTTCAGTCCAACAACTTAGCCTGGTTGGATAAGGCACTTGTGACCCGCATATGGGTGAGCACAATGGAATCGGCCCCCTTTGGAGATTCGTGGGACACAGGGTTGCTCGAGACTCTCGACAAGGTACACAAGTCCAGCCCAGAACCTCTCAGCCCCGATGCTACAGGAGCAGCACAATCAGTAAGTTTAAATACTAACCATGTTAACAGTAACAACAATTACTAAATGTCACAAGCTACTGTGGAAAAAGATCGAGGCTACGATGAGCTGCCACCAGTACCAATCGGCTGATAAATGGTGTCTGGTTGCTCTTCATCCGATATTTTCAAATTCTGGCCCTTCGAACCAAGCGAAATTTGGACGAAAACGGATTCTTTGTGCGATTTCTTTGAATAAGCCTGAAAATGCATACGAAACTTTCGGGGCAATGCCAGCAAAGTCTCAGGATGATTGCCTGACCAGATTCCTCATGTTCAAGGCTTCTTTACTTGACTTCAACCATGATGTAGCACTGAAGTCCATCGAATATCTAAGCCGCTGCGCAACTGAGGCAAATGTTCAGGAAATGCTTTACGCTTGTATTCGGGAATCTCAACAGGCTTACGACAAGCTGTGCACACTGACCGCTCTGCAGGCGGTTGCTGAGAACTGGTCTTCCGAGCAGGTGTCAGTTACAAGCCTCCCTTCAATTCTGCGGTGCTGCGTCAGGCTTATCGTGGTAATTGAAAAGGAGAACGGAGCCGGCGAGTCTTCAAGCATGTTTTCTGATGACATCTGCAAGATCTTCGCGATCGGTACGTCAACAGCCAAGGAGCATTCGAGATGACCTTTTCTGATACGAATAGGGGCGACGCGTGCAAAGGCGGGCTCCTTGAGTGCGGACGGAAAGAAGGCATTTTCTACAATTGAACTTCACTGGTTTCGGAAGAACAGTTTCAACATCGGTGTCAAAAACTGCTCCTCGTGGGACATGCCGAAAGTCATTAACGTTTTCTCCTCGTGTCTAGACTTCATCAGTTGTTACCCCGACGACATGCCCAAGGAAGACTACGAAGAGTTACATGTGATGTCCATGCGTTGCCATTTCATCATGGGAGCAGCCAAAGTTTCTATAGCACGGACAGAAGATCGGCTAGATGAAAGGCTCCAAAAATATCTCGAGGTCAGGCGCCATGCGGCAGCTTTCGATCTTGAGCTGTGCAAGGAGGCAGTCGGGCGAGACGAGTCAACCATTTTGGATCTGTACCGGAAGCTGTCGACCCTGCTAGTCTTTGACTTTGAGGGAGCCATAGCATTGAAGAGCTGGGATGACCTGGGTAATATCGTGAGGAAAGCCGAAAACTGCAGAGATGAGACAACACTCAAAGCCATGGGGGATTGCCTCCTCAGAAGTGAGACCCCAAGTAAAGGTATGTGTTTGTGGCGAAACATGTGTCGGGATTCAAGTATGTTCTAACCAAAGTAACGTCGAAGTCATGTTCTCGACAATGAGATTGATTGTCAATGGTATTTTTGTCTTGGAAAATTTCGATACACTGAGGCTTGCCAAGTACTTGCGGTGCATCTTCCAGGTCATCCTGCCTCTTGACGACACATTGGCACTTCAGTTGCTAGATGAGACTTCACATATCGCCAGAGAAGGTAGCCAAGTAAGTATTTTCAGATCCAACTTGTGGTGTCACAATGATAGACCTCACTAATAGCTACAGGTTGGTTCCTCTCTGCCTCCAACAGATCTTGAATGGCTCGTTGCCACGGCCTTCAATCACGCCATTGATTTCTTCACCCGCGGCGAAGAGGATCTCTGTCAGCGTTGGGCACTACGAGCCATCGAGCTGGCTGGCGCCATGGAGGACGAAGGACAAATGGGAGATCTCTTGCAAGGGAAACTCGCAAAACTCCCCTTCCAATCGCGGCCTCAAGCAAACCCAGAGAGATGATGAATATAAAGAGTCGTAATGGGGTTCTCCCATATTAATTTTATATACTTGACTATATCCTTTGCTATATTGCAAGGCGACCTGAAGCTCGAGCTTAAGATCCTCTTTCAAATGCGAGTATAGGTAAATTACAAGAATATCTTCCGGCTAGTTTGGCTACTATGATTGTTTTGATGTTCTAAACGGTGCTAATTCCTTGATATAGACGCGACATGTAATATAAGACACTTAAACAATTTTATACCATTGAATTTCTCAACGACTTTAGAAAGTAGCCTATTTATAACCTCTCTTCCATTTGGTGTCTCTTTCTCATGTCACCCACTTGCCAGATAACTAGAAACTGTGGATGAGGGTAGCATGCGGCTCGGAGATGACTCGCTGTGGGCCGCCCGAAATACGGACTTGGGATATGCTGATTGGCTGGCCGGAGCGCGCAACGCACGGCCAATGGCACATCAAGCAAGGCGTCGTTTGACGCACTTTTTCAGTCTCTTCCTACCCACGCGACCAGAGGACTCCCTTGACGCTCGAGGAGGGCGGCAATTGAGACGAAGCAGCACGGCTGAGCTGAGGTGGAGTGCCAGACCATTGATACTGGCATCTCATCAGCGGCCCCGAGTATCCTCCAGCGTGCCCTAGAGTCACACGACACAGCAATTGATCAGGGGATTGCTCACCATGTCGAGATGCCTGCTTAGGCAATTGACGGGCTCAGCCAATGGCTTGTGGGCCCAGTCAGTGCCTCGGCCGAAAGCGAGTAGCTCGGCGTGGCTGCGCACGGTCAGTGGGCTGGAGCAGAGCTTCACCACCGCCAGCAATCGCAGTTTCGGCGCGCAGTTCACAGTATCGAAGAACCGCAACTCGGTCAGCAACCTGGTCAGAAACAGAGAGCGGCATGGAGTGCGAATCAATGAAGGTCCCCGGAGGTACGTTTTCGCGATCCGGCCGTTCTTTCCTACCTTATCTTAGCACCTGATTATCCACTTGGCTGCATGGCGGGGCAAGAGCTCTTGAGCTTCCTTCCCAGAACCCCTCCTCCACCGTTTGACCCCGCCAGCCTCCCACTCACTATCACTTATAAAGATCCCGGCCGTCCTAATCAGACACTCTCTGAGCTTTCTCTGGGTATTGTGTCCAGGAAATCTCTGAGCTATCGCTGACATCCCTCAGAGTCCTCCAACAGATCTCTCAACGTTATTGCTCCGCGCACGCGAGAGCACGCAATCCCGAAAAAATGACTGACCGCGAGGTGCTCCCGGATAACGTGAAGCCAATCCACTACAACCTCTCACTCCGGGACCTCGAATTCAAGAACTGGACTTACCAGGGAACTGTCGGGTGAGTTGACACCAGTATTTACGTCACACAGCCTGGATTCTAACCTGGGTTATAGAATCGATGTCGAAATCACCAAGCCAACCAAGGAAATCGTTCTCAACACGCTCGAGCTCAAGCTTCACAACGCCAAGGTCAAAGTTGACCATACCAAGTCTGAGCAGACAATCGAAACTACAAACTTTTCGTACAATGAAAAGGCTCAGCGAGCAACTATTGTCTTTGACCAGGAGCTTCCTGTGTCAAAGAAGGCCTCTCTGACTATCACCTTCGAGGGTATCATCAACAATGAGCTTGCTGGGTTCTACCGAAGCAAATATAAACCCGCCGAAACTCCCGCCAAGTCTGTGCCTCATGACGATGAGTGGCATTACATGTTCAGCACCCAGTTTGAGTCTTCTGACGCCAGGCGGGCTTTCCCTTGCTTTGACGAACCCGGCCTCAAGGCGACCTTTGACTTCGAAGTTGAGGTTCCAACTGACCAGGTTGCTCTGAGCAACATGCCCGTCAAGGAAACAAAGCCTACTAAAGAGGGCTGGCAACTGGTGACTTTCGAGACGTCCCCCTTGATGAGCTCTTACCTTCTCGCCTGGGCTATTGGTGACTTCGAGTATATCGAAACTTTTACTGAACGAAAGTACAACGGAAAGCAACTCCCAGTTCGTGTTTACACCACGCGGGGTCTGAAGGAGCAGGGCCAGTGGGCTCTGGAACACGCTGCCCCGGTCATTGACTACTTTTCGAAGATTTTTGATATCGACTATCCTCTTCCCAAGGCTGATTTGCTTGCTGTGCACGAATTTACCCATGGCGCTATGGAAAATTGGGGCCTAGTGACGTATCGAACTACCCAGGTTCTGTTTGACGAGAAAACGTCGGACCCACGCTTCAAAAACTCAGTTGCATATGTCGTTGCCCACGAACTCGCCCACCAATGGTTCGGCAACCTCGTAACAATGTCCTGGTGGGATGAATTATGGCTCAATGAGGGCTTTGCTACGCATTGCGGTTGGGCAGCGGTCAACGAGCAACATCCAGAATGGGAAGTTTGGGCACAATTCGTGAATGAGGGCATGGAGACGGCGTTTCGCCTTGATGGCATCCGAGCCAGCCACCCAATCCACGTGGAAGTCCGCGACGCTCTGGACGTCAACCAGATCTTCGACTCTATTAGTTATCTGAAGGGTTGCTCAGTTCTTCGGATGCTTGTAAACCACCTTGGGTTTGAGACTTACGTCAAGGGTGTTTCCAAGTACCTCAAGGCTCATGCGTATGGCAACGCCACAACCAAGGATCTTTGGGACGCACTGAGCGAAGTTTCAGGACAGGATATCAATAAACTCATGGCGCCTTGGATCGCCAAGATCGGCCATCCTGTATTGAACGTTGATGAGGAACCTGGTCAGATCACCGTCAAGCAGTCCCGCTTCCTTTCAACCGGTGACGTCAAGCCTGAGGAAGACACTACAACCTGGTGGGTTCCTCTTGGTCTGGAGGGTAAGAAGGACGAATCTGGTGTCGCTGCGTTGAGTCTCGAGAAAAAGGAGGAGACTATTACCGGCGTCAACGATGACTTCTACAAGCTCAACAGTGGGGCCACTGGCTTCTTCCGCGTCAACTACCCGGCTTCTCGACTCGCTAAGCTCAGCACCCAGCTTGACAGGCTCAGCACTGAGGATAAGATTGCCATCATTGGATCGACTGCCGACCTTGCCTTTGCTGGCAACGGCAACACTGCTGCTCTCCTGACTTTCCTCCAGGGTTTCAGCAATGAGTCGCACTCGCTCGTGTGGAGCCAGGTCCTCGACTCTGTTGGCTCAGTTAAGTCAGTCTTTGGAGAGGACGAAGAGTTGAAGAAGGGTTTGAGCAACTTTGTTGTCAAGCTCATTGACGCCAAGGTAAAGGAGATTGGATGGGAGGCCCGCGAGGGCGAAGACTACCTTGTTGGTATTTTGCGAAAGAGCCTGATTTCCTCCGCAGTTGCCAGCGGCCATCCCGAGTAAGTTTTTCCTTCTCTATTGATAACGTTGTCATACTAACCACCTATTACAACAGAGTTACCACAGAGGCTCTTAAGCGCTTCGACGCCTGGGTTGAGAACCCCGAGGCTAACCCCATCCCTCCCTCGCTCCGCACCTCGGTCTGGCGCGCTGGTCTCGACAAGGATCCCGCCCGCGCTGTTCCAATCCTGAAGAAGGAGTGGTTCGAGACCAAGTCCATCGATGGTAAGCTTCTTTGTCTCTCCGTCCTTGGACTTACCAAGGACGTCGAGCTTCTCAAGTCGTCTGTTATCCCCTTCAACTACAACACCTCCCCTCCGTCTAACGCGGTGCCCAACGCGGACATGCACGCCCTCGCGTCGTCTCTGGCACGAAACTCGGCCGCGCGCAACCTGCACTGGGACTTCCTCAAGAACCACTGGGACGCCATTGTCAGTAAGATCGGCAATCCCATTGTCGTCGACCGTCTGGTCAAGGTCAGCTTGAAGAGCTTCACCGACGAGTCGTTCGTCGACGACATTGCCAAGTTCTTCGCCGACAAGGACACCACCGCATTCAACCGCTCCCTGGGTACCGTCCAGGACAGCATCCGCGGCCGCGCCGCTTACAAGAAGCGCGATTCTGTGGCGCTCAAGGAGTGGCTTAACGCCAACAACTACATTTGACTACAACGCGAATGGAGGCTATAGATCCTAGAGAAGGACAGCAACTAACGGAAAACGTATATCCGATTTGGGATAAAGAAAATACCAAAAACTGTATTAATATAAGTGAAATGATGCAGTTGTCCGTCGCATCCTACAGTGATGTCTGCTTTTCGTGATGTCAACACATAACACATGTCTTTCAGAAATAACGGCACAATAATAAGCCAATAATCTGTTATTTGGCTATCCGAAAATGACAATATACGAATAAACGACGGTGGCAAATTGGCTGTACCTCAGCCTTGCAGCCAAGTCTCGGTGATCTCCCTAGGGATCAACATCAGCTTTGCTCCAGCTGAGGCTCCTAAATTAACGATTGGACTGTGTAATCCTTTGGACTCTCACCGCCGCCGCCTTGCAGCCTCATTATCATGTTACCAAGCGCCAAGTTGGCTTATCGTCCTATGTGGTGGCGCAGCAAAAGGGGCAATATTGAAAAGGAGAACTCGGAAGGACAATCAAGACATAAGCTTCGATTGCCACCTTACCTTACGCCTAGACACTAAAAAACAAGCGCGGAAAGGTTTGATGAACCAGCAATTAGTGACCGAAGATCCGGAGGCGTCAATCTCATGTAGTCTAATCACATCGTCGCACAGGCCCCCCAAACGGTGTCATTTTCTCGGTGAGCATCGTGCCGGAAAGCACACCCCCCCATGTCCCATGTCTCGGAAGAACCGCCACAACCTGGAGTCGCATTTTCTCGGCGGATCGAGCAGTCCGCTCTTCCCAAGCAGCCAAGATGTCGTTTCACTACTACAACGAACGTGCATGATCCGCCTCGTCGGAAGATTCCAGTGGATGGATGCCGAGGCCGGTCAATGCGCATTTGCTTCTTCCCAGAGCGCGCGGCAAACGTTGCTTTTTGGCAGCTTACTGAATATTTCTACGGTGTCAAAGCGTTTTCCTGTCGTCATCTACTATTTCCGCCGTTGCTATGTGGTGGCCCCTCTTCGCCTCGGGCAGAGTAATCGCTCATGATATATCACCCTGCATCTTATTACTATACCGACACTCCGTAGGCCCGGAGGCTGTGTTGGTGCCGGCGAGCTTGGCGTTTTATAGTAAAGTTTTGGTCGGAAATCTCGGGATAACGGTAGGTTATTACCCGCCCACCTAAGCGAAGGGAGGAAGATCCAGGTTAGCCTTTTGCCGCCTCCACATCATAAAGCCTCATCCGACTCCTGATGCAGCAAGCTCTGACCATCTCGTCCGTCTCGCGGGAGCCCTCTGCGGCTCAGCAGGTTATCAGATTCAGCCTGAGCATGTGACGACATCAGAGGGCCGTCGGAAGCGCATCCTGCGCCATGGTTGAGTTGACGAGGCTCTTGGTTATGAAACAAGTTGACAAGCAACCATCCGTGGATAAGCATCGGCTACCCATACCCCAGTAGTACTAGCGAGGACTAGTAACTGAGTGACACTCAGAAGGAGGCCGTACATCGGACGGGTGTTGTTCAGGCCTAGCTGAAGCTAATTGCTCTACCCTCGCACTAACTGACATTCCCTTGGGCTTCATGGCGACCCATGCTCGCAGCGTTTGGCCGCGCGTGGCCCCCATTTGTCAAGATCGCCATCGTCCTCCGCGGTATCCGTCCTGGGGTATAGAGACTGGGCAATAGTCTCAGGTCAGGCTCTGGCGTTTCTGGAACAATGATGCTTTGCCACTGTGCTTGGAGAGAGCCTTTCCCGTCAACGACGTCTTTTCGCATAGCTGCGGCGGATTGCTGACGTGCCACTTACTCAAGCACTCAAGACACCCTTCATGCGATGACTTCGGCTCATCCCCGCCCCTCTCTTTGGAATGGAGCCCACACATGTGGCTGATCGTAGGAGCGCTTGGCCTCTTCTTGCTACTGGCTAGACATGACGGGGTACTTCGTTGGCCAGGACCGGTGATCATCTTCCAAAACGCTGTCCAGGCGGTGGGTTGGCTCCATTAGGAGACCCTTGTGACCCCCTCCACTGGAAGGGTGTAAGTTGGCCGCGTTTTCCCTCGCTTTCGACCACCTTCAGCTTCCTTTGAAGGAAGCGGCCAGGGTAGCCAATCCTTTCCCACTCTGAGGGGACGGGCTGACGAACCTGGGAGGAAGAGCCCGGAGGCATGGGAAATGTAGGACTGCATGTTCAGAAATCCGATGGTGGCCAACGCTAGGTGACCGCGACTCTGGAACACTACACGGCATCTGGCAAGGAGGCTTTGGCATCATCATATTCTTAGACCGCTCTCCCCTCCAAGCCGCCAAGACCACTGCGAATCGGAACGACTCCTGCATTTGCTCGGAGGGCAGCGTGCCATTTCACCGCTAGACGGGGCACTTCCCAATTCGATCTTTGATACATTTCGTGCGTGATGTGATGTGATGTGATGTGACGGGAGGGATACCTTACATATCGATGCAAAACAGAGTCGCTGCAGGAGTTGCAGGCACCGGGCCTGTGACGACGGAAGGCGAGGGCTGGCCTACCGAGTGAGGGCGTCGAGTATGCACTGGGCCGTATCTCAGACGGCCCACCAGCCGTTCGCCTTGGGTCCTTGCTCGAGTTCCTTTGGGGGGCGGACAGTTGACTGGAGTGAGCGCAGGCTTCGTGTCGATCTTCCGGTACTCAGCTCGGCACCGTGCTCCTTCCTCCAGGCCATCGCTCTGACTCGAGACGTAGCCAGTGGAGAGGAACCTGGTGTCAGGTTGCTCTTTCCTTAAAGCTGTTTGCGACCGGGGTCCGGGTTGTTTGGAAGGAGCCACGGGGCGTCGGGGCATGTTGTCATCTGCGGTACTCGGCCAGTCAAGCTGAGGTGGGCAGCTACCTGCCAGTACCTGTGGAGGGGGACAGGGGACGCGATCCTAATTCTCAAGCGCTCGGTCGGCAAACTCGATCCCCCCCAAGCCGACAATTTTGCTTACGTACAGGGTCACCCGTCATCCTCTAGCCCTATATTCGCAACAACTGACCCGAGCCGTGCGGGACGAATGAGGTGGAGGGAGATCCGATGTTCGACCTACTATCTCCATGCCGAACTGCTCCTTCGGTGATTACCTATTGCTGGGTACGCATGTGCAGTTGGGGGCGAAGCGGACTGCGACCTATGATGTGTGAGGTCTGTCGCTCACGTCAGCATCCACACCTTCTTGCGCCGAAACCTGATATGTGCCGACGCCTAGGCGCCTCCTATCACATTGGAAGAGCTCGATTTCGCTTAGATCGCTACGCTCCGAGCCATACAGTGACAGACAGTATTCCGCAGCCTGGCCGCTAGCAAGTTGAGCGCTGGCGATGGTCCAGCGCCGGATCAACCTCGTCGCGCCCAATCTGTCGGTGCTTTCCTCTATTTGCGAGTCATTAGTGCTCCTTCAACTCAGAAGATTGGGAGGGTTTACTATGTACAATGTACAGTCTCGTGCCTCAATTCACCCTGTTGAGACCAAGCGCAACGGCAGCATCCGAATGCAAGAAGTAACCCGAATAGGGAAGGAAACCCTCGAGGTGGATGGATGATGATCGCTATTTTATTCCCATCACCACGCCAGTCGTGAGCGCACAGGCCTTGTTTCCTCCTCTCGCTGGCTATTTTTAACAGTTCAGTTTGACTGCTGCCACGTAGGCAGTTTGCTTGCATCTCATCAGGCACGCAGCGAGCGCATGGCGCAACCATCGCGGACAGGCATGGTGACACGGACAGTCCCGAACCAGCACCAACGGGCAAACCGCCGGCAACCGCGATAGTCTAATTATTCTGTGATTCATGCCGCCTCGTCTGGAGAGCGCTCCGCAGGACCTGATCCAGGACCTGGTCCCTCCACCCAGACTGCTGGAGGTTGTATTCTCTCGCCGTCGCCGCCGGGCTGGGAAGGTGACAGGGGTGGGGGATTGAAACAAGCTCCGAGTTTCTGGAAGCCATGGCGCAATTATGCGCCCTTTCCTGCCACGCCGGCTTTCAACTAAGGATAAGGGTGCATTCGCTCAAGCCAGTGTGCGGCTAGTCCCACCTCAGCCGCAGAGCCAGAGTACCGTCCTGCTGCCAACACGCGACGAGGCGGCCGGGGAGACGCTATCCTACCTACACGGGCGGCCCTGTCGGACTTGGGCTAGCCGGGCGGTCATGCCCACGCGCGAGCAGCCAGGGGGTCAGGGTCAGGATGAGCTTGGCTTTGCTCTAGTGTAAGCCTACATGCCCTCCCACCTTAGGCAAGTTTCAGCATGTGCGCGTGGGTTTCTTTTTGTTCCTCCGCGAGGAGGCAGGTGGGGAGCAGTTACCACCCAAGCAAGGAGCAGGTTGTTTGGCATACGTACATCTTGGCCGACCTCATCATCTGTGCCACGAGGCACATGAGCTGTGACCCGCTCTGACGGGTTGATGCGTAGAAGCGCCATGGAACGTCGAAACGGGCTCTTGGTATTTCTTTTCAGTTTGCTCTGTCTTGCTTTTGGTGTCACATTCACCGGCAGCAGGTTTCCGCTTCGCGTAGCTCTGAAACTTCTAGGCAAGACCTTTGCTAATGGAAACAGTACCATGTGACCAACCCCTAGACATCCGGAATATGGGTTTGCTCCTTGGGTCAAGGTCACAACGAAGCAGATGTGATTCTGTCGCATTTGAGCTGCGCACACCGGTTTGCTTTGGGCGCTCTACATATGGAGCCAGCAGCTCGCTGTGCGACGCATCGAGCGGCTATCAGACTAGTCAGCCGCGCGACGACCCAAACAGTGTTCCGTACCGCACCTAGCAGGGCACCGGCATCGTAATGTGGAGGGGGACTTCTCTACTACGACGCTAGGCAAGCAACGGGGAAATTGTCTCAGTTGAACCCACGACGGATGCTATCACTGATCCGATGAGGCGGTGCATTCGCAGCTTCCAGGTACTTGCGTTTGATCTGACGTACCTACAATTGTGGTACCGCACTAAAGGGGCCGGAAAGGGGCACAGTTTCGGTGTCATCCCATCACTAGCAGCTTTTAGTTTTTCTCCCTTCCGTTCAGACATGGCATGCCATGCGAGGATCCGGTCGATATGATGAACCACCAGAGTGTCTATGTAGCCGCTGACCTAGCTTGCAGTACCAAGTCTGGCTAGGAAGGTGATTATAATACATACAGCCTAGTAGTATGACGCAGCTTCCTGAGCACTCGCCTAGCTACGAGCAGAGGGAATCGAGCAACTCGAGCCAGGCGACCGATCGAACCACCAATCGGGAATATCCAAGTGCGGTTGACCACCAGTCGTGCCATGGCGCCTCGTGCGTCCCAAGATCAGTATCAACCATGTGCAGGGGCCCGAAGGCCGCTAATTCGGATGACCACCGAGACGGACAAAGCCCGGCGCACACAAACCGCACCATTCAATCACCTCCACCATCACCACCATTGCCTGGGGGAGGATATATCCTAGTTTAGTCGGTTCACTCAACTTCCGCGCCCCGAACGCCAGTTGCGCGGAATTCCAGTTTTTGTGAGGATCCACCGTGTATGATACCGTATAAGATACTGTCATCGCCAATCAAGCCCTTACACCTTCGGCTCCCGGCCGAGTCTCCACTGCCATGGCTCTGATCCCTGGCGGAACCACACATGGGGGCAGCCACCTGGCCCTCCTGCTTCTGAAGGCCAAGCCAAGTCGTCACCCAGGACGAGGAGTGCGCCGGCAGCGGCAACAGGCTGTGCACGGACTGGTGGAGGGTGCCAATAACTTACTTAACACCGCCCTGATATAGGCCTCCGAGCCTAGTTGACATCCACCCAGCACTCCCCCCTCGCGGCAACTTGCAGGCTTCCCGTCGCTTCTGAGCCCTTGGGCGTCAGAGTGCGCCAGCTGCTCGGACTGCCATCCCGATTCAGTCCAGCTGAGTCGACTGGCTGCATCAAGGGGGCATATCCATGGTCTTCGGGAGAGAAATGAACGTCCATCCGGCCCTTGATTGATTATCATCTCCCGCGAACCAAGAGGGCAGGTAGTCGAGTGCACAGTCTGGCTTTTCAAGGCACGAGCCCATTGCCATCTTCACACAGACTCATAGCGCCTCGCTCATCCCGAAGGTCGTCCCTGTAATATCAAATAGTTGGAAGCTGGGTGCGAGAGGCAGCCACCAACGCACTCACTGTAGCGGGCGGCAGCGAGGCCAGCATTATTGGACATGCCTGCAGCCCTAGATCACACTCATTTAAGCACACAAGGGGGCTTCTGGCTGCTGGACGGAACGAACACGCAGGTCGGCCAGCACAAGAAGGGCCGCCCTCCTCTCCCATCCCAGGCGATCGCCGGTGGGGTTTGTTCTTGCGAAACATGTGAGCGGTTGAGATTGATTTGACCCCCACTGGATGACGAAAACAAGTCGTTTCTAGCGACCCTGTGCTGGGGGAAAGGCGGGGACACTATGGGCGAAGGGTTGTGTTGTCGAGGCACTAACTCGCTCTCTCTGAGGTGCGGAGTATGATTAGCTACCTTGCCCAGTCAGTCACCTTGCCGGTCCATGCACTGCCGAGGGTACATACATCCCTACATAGTGTGTACATATGGACTTGTTCGCGTGTGCCCCATATTACAGACTTGACGACGTTGAGAGAGCAGAGCAAGCCCTCTCGACCCGGACCTTGCCTATCCAACTCATCCTCCTTGGGATGACACTGCCAGCTCCGGGCTTGCTTTGACCAACACAACGCAAATCCTGCCGAGTATCTAGGATAGAGCAACAACAAGGACAGAACCATGCTGGCTCTTGACAGGACCCTCCTCGGTCAAACTCCACACAGGCAAGCACGCCCTGGCTTGCGATAATATAGCAAAGACATGCTGCTATGGCCACTATCCTATACCACTGCTCACGTACCTACTCGATGGAGGATTACGTCGCAGTTCTACCCGGCTAATAAGAGTGGTAGGGATCCGCCCCTAGTGTCCATTTCAACAGGAGCGAGCCTCCACTCGAAACACGTTAGCGGCTCACTGTAGCACTTGTCTGATCTCGACGGCCCTGGTCGCTGTTTGGACAATTCGTGCAGGGTTGTATGCCCCATGCCATGCTCTATTCCCCCTTCTGCAGCCAGTTAAGATATTATTTCCGATTCTGCTTTAAGGCGCGGAGACCCCCGGATCACGGGAAACCGAGCGCCACTAACACGGTCCCGTTTCTTGTCCTCGGCGTAAGAGAGTGGTGGTGTTCGTCGATGACCAAGTCTCACATCACATCTCCCTGTAACGTGCTTCCCGGACGCGCATAACCCAGGATTCACTCTCGCAGCGCCATTCCCGCCCCAGCTTCTTGACCTGGCCAAGCAGGGTAAAACGTTTCGCTTTTGGAAAGATCCTTGCCCCTGTGAGTGCCTGAGCGAGGGAGTGGGTGAAGCCGTGGTTCAAGGTCGCATCTGTGTGGGTGGTCGCAGCCTCGATCGCATGCTCAGTGTTATACATCTCTTCTTCGGCTCGTCCCCCGAAACTTTCAGCAGCCTTGAAACCTTCCGGCTAGATCGCCACCATTAGAGCAGAAGTTATGCTTCCTTGCAGTCGTCGCAGTGCTCCGAGTGTCACTCTGTTTTAACGTACCCCGCGCGCCAGGCCCAGTCTGCTTCTTACCAGGTTCAGCTCGGCTCTGCGCATAGGTCAGAGGCAGGACAAGTAGACAAGCAAGTCTTGACCCGCCGCCGTGAGCAGTGTTCAGGTCGCACAACACTGCAGCGCAACAACAGACGACGGATATCGACCGGAGTGCTCCTTGCCCCGTCTGTAGGCCCCGCGGAGGTCTCGGCGCTAGTTTTCCAGTTGTTTCTCCTGCCGAGTCTGACAGCGACGGGAGGCGAGACGACACCTCACTCAGCGTTGGAGCGTTGGCCCGGTTGGGTGGAATGGGGGAAAGGGGAAAACGGTAGCTTCTATCCAAACACCCAAGCTCTCTCTCCCCGAGCGCTCGGGTCCAGACTAGCTTCTGTATAGAAACTTCTACTTGACAACCCAGCGCAGCTCATACGAGAACCTTGGAGACTTGTTTGCGAGCGCAGTCCTTGTCGGAGACATCTGCGCCATGGCCTCGTCACACAACCTCTTTTCTCGATCTCCCAACCTCTCTACCCGATCTTACGACTCTTCCTCAGTGTCGTCTGCTACGTCACCGAAGCCACCATCGCAATATCTCGGGGGAATCATGAACACGAGCTCGAGGCCTGGCGGCATCCTGCCCCCAGGTGCCATGGGCGTGCCTCCTCTACCGCCCGTTGCAGCGAGTCCTGGCTACCCTCCTTACACGCCCATGGCGGCTTTCGGGCGCGAGTCGGTACATTCTACAGATTCGGTAACGAGCACCCCGGGGTCTTCTCACTCGCACATGGCTGCGCCCCCAGGCAGCTCGCAAAAGCGAGCATATCGCCAGCGGAGGAAGGATCCCAGTTGTGATGCCTGCCGTGAACGAAAGGTGAAATGTGACGCGACGGAAACCACGAGTTGCTCTGAGTGCTCGAGCCGGAATGTCAAGTGCCAGTTTACTAAGGAGACGAACCGTCGCATGTCGTCTATAAAGCAAGTTCAAGATTTGGAGAAGCAGATGAATCAGGTTAGGCAAGAGAACAGCCACCTTCGACGCAGACTCGAGGGGAGAGAGGGGTCAATAGACGTGGAAATGGAATCAGCAGAGGATACACCCCTTTATCTACCGCCACCAGGCTCCGAGCCTAGACGAAGGGAACGATCGACGCCGATGCCAGACTTGGCCAGAGCCAGAGCGAATATCCACAGCCTCTCCAAGGGGGTCTTCAAGGCCCCTACGCCATATCGTCTCGCCATTCTGTCCACGTTTGAACCTCCTCGACCCGATTTGCCGCCTCGCCAAAGTGCAGAACTTCTCCTCGCAGCATATTATCGATCAGCTCACACCATGTTTCCGATTCTCCACTGGCCTTCATTCCAAAACGAAGTTGATGATATATATAATGGCCAAATCTCGAAAGTTCCTCCCAGTAGTCTTTCTCTGTTCTTCTCAGTTCTGGCAACGGGGAGTTTGTTCAACGAGGAACCTCCTACTGGGCAATCCTTTTACCGCCCTGCAGAGCTCCTCGAGACCGCCAAGAGTCTCCTGGATCCATGGAATAACGATTTTGACTTTGACACTTGCCGGAGTTTGGTTCTCATTACCCTTTGTCTGAACGAGATGAATCTCAAGTCGGCTGCATGGAATCTGTTGGGCAACGCAGTTCGAGTCGCGCAAGACTTGGGCCTTTATTTCGATGCAGGGCCTTGGCCAATTATCGAAGGAGAGATGCGACGACGGACATGGTGGGCCATATATGTCCTTGATCGAACTTTGGCTTCCGAGCTGGGGCGTCCCAAGCTCATTGATGACGACGACAACGACGTGCCACTCCCGGCAGGTGTCGACGATCAGTACATCCGTCCGGACGGCACACTCGTACCAAATGGAGTCCAGCCCCTGACGCATTCTCTGCTTGCAGTTATCCATGTCGTGCGATCATATGCACCTCTGATGAAGGCACTCAGGCCACCGGTGGTGTCCCAGCAACGGCTTGCAGTTTTCGAAGCTCACTTCAAGCACTGCCTTGAATCCTCGTTTCCAGCCCAATGCTACCCTTCTAGCAACCTCCCTATTGCCCCTCATTTCCTGGCGCCATTAGCCTACCTCTTTCACGCCCGTCTTGTTCTGCACAGACATAATTTAGCCCCGAGATGCTCGCCAGCTACACGATTAGCTGCTCTGGAGGGTTGTACGCTGGTTTCTCTCGACACAGCGGCACTGGTCCACAGGACAAATGGCTCCTTGGCCGAGGGGGCAACAGCTCTGCTGGCAACCCACATCTTCCGATGTACCTTATATTTACTTCTAACAGGCTACTTTGACCAGGCAGCTACTTGTATTAGAGCTCTAGCTTCGATCAGCACCCGTAGAGATGTGGCGATTCCATGCGGCCGATACCTCTTCTTCTTCGTCACCAGCCTGCTAGGGCCCAAGAGGGCGGAACATCTTGATTATATTCAACAGACGAGACCCCCGGCCTCGATTCGAACACCGCATGATCATCAGTCGGCCTTCCTACAATCCCTGGTGGGGGACGAGGAGTTGATTGCCTACGCCTCATCCGACATCCAGTCATCACCTGAACACAATTGGTTGTGGGCAGGGTTGGAACGAGAAACGGACATCACCCAGACGACTTCCATCTCGACGGCATCCCCGTCGACAGCGAACAACGCCCTGTACAACTCGGAGGCGCGGACCGGCCTGACGAGCCAGGAGAGCAGGTCATGGGGAGGCTGGGCCCAGCTTGAATCCGCCACGCGCGCCCTCGCGCCGGGTGGCGCACCAGGACCTGCGCTCTCTTCTACCCCAACCCCGCCTGGCTCGGGCGGTACCTGGACGACACTCCCACCGCCGCAGATCAAGACCGAGCCGTCGGCCTCCAACGTCGAACTCCCCCGCCTATCCGACGCGCCGCGGTACATGGCAGACGCACCGAGGGTGGTTAGAGAAGGCAGTACGGGCAGCCCCCCAGGGAGCGACTCGGCGAAAAGGGGCGTGGATCGTCTGAGCATTGCAAACATAATATGAGTCTCTCAACGCGAGGGTCAGAAAGGGGGGGGCGTCTATACGGAAATGGGAAGGAGGATTGGATGCATACTACGGCGAAGCGCAAAAAATGGTCACAACCTGAAATATCCGAAAAAGATATGGCGTCTACTACATACAGAATAATCTGCTCACAGCAAAAAAAGTTTGTTTCCAGTGAGAACACACCATCGACGAGAGCTCACCGGGCCACTTGCAGTGCAGGACTCGGCTTCGGGTGGGGGTTGCATAATTAGCTAGGAGTTTATGGTGAATAGGGGGGGCGCAAGATAAATGGCTGGACGGACGGTGGTCCAGGTTTATTTTGGATTTTACTATGACTGCAATGATATCAATTCTTATTTTTCAACTGGTTTTAAATTCGTTCTGTTCTGTCCTTAAGTTTGCATTGCATACAAGAAGAGTAATAGCCTAGCCGGAAGATATTCTTGTGATTACCTATACTCGCATTTAAAAGATGATCTTGAGCTCGAGCTTCGGCAGGTGCCTTTTCGAATAGAATCCTCTGCCAGGTCTTCTCCAGCGGATGATTGGTATCCCACAATGGCTGCTCCAATGTCTGACTAACAAAGTGCGATCCTTCTTTGCACCTTGGGTTTCCGAATATATACAGCCTTCTGATACGAAGTTACAGTATTCCTATTCGTCTGATTGGCCGCCGGGGTATTCGATTTCGATAGTAGTATTCTTAGTATGCTCGCCGTTAACAGCAGGGTACGGTCGGAATCGAGTAAAGCAGTTTGGGATTCGGGTGGTCTGGACAGGGAGCGAAATCGTGAAGATATTAGTGTGTAAGGAGAATTATTCCTATGACCCGGCATTAACTTCTCGATATGGCGTCTGGCTATCCTGGTAGCAGGTATATTGAGTGTACTAACTCTATTAAAAAAAGATGGATTGGGACGAAGATTTTATGCGGGCGATACAGATCTGGGGGCGTATTTGGTGCCTGAGGGATAATCGAGCCTGCCCTCGATATTATAATATAAGTTTGGAGTATACCTATTGCCTGAATATTAGCTAACGACCATTTCAGTGTAGCAGACGGGGCCATAAGAAGACCCAGTCAAGTGGGTGAAGTAAAACATGGCACATTGAGATAGTGCAGCATTAAATTTCAACACAATAATACGATAAATAAACTCGTACTGAATATAATATCAAGCTAACTATCATAGAATAGCCTATTATTCTCTTATTATTGTGTTTAGTTAGAAAATGAGGTCCTTGCGTCACGCGGACAGAGCTTTGGTGTGCCACGTTTTATTCCACCCACTTGCCAGTGCCTCGCGCCTTAGAATGGCCGCGGCGATGATCCCAACTTGCCTCCTCCGCCGTCCACCTCTTCGACAGCTACCACGCGCCAGCCGTCCGTGTCGTCGACCGTCCCTGCGCAGCCCTCTCAGCCCCCCCCCCCCCTGTTTGGGGGGTTCCAGTCCCTGCCCCTGGTGTTTGGAGATTTCCAGCCGTCCTACTTGAGGGATTTGGCCTCCGAGTAACCTGGATACATTGACAACTTCTCATCTGCCCCAATTCGTGCGCATGCCTCTGTCAAGTCAAAATCAACCTTTAGGGTAAGGTTATTGAAGAAGCGATCCATGATAAACTCTTTTATAGCGGATTCAACAGCCTGTGTGAATACCTCCTCTGAGGCCACTGCTTTGAAATCCTTCCAAGTATCCATCTCAAGTGATTGCTTGATATAGTCATTAGCCTCATCGCTGTGTAGATCACCAAAGATCGTTTGTTGTGCTAACTGCTCCTGCAGGTGATCAGTCCTTGCAGGGTTCATCCGAGTGCTTTGTTTGATACAGGCTTTAAGATCGGCAGAAGTAAGTGAATCCCATTTTTTAAGCCCTTTCATCTCGAAAAGTTTGTTGCGAGCAAGTGTCGGGAAGCGGCTGCCAGTTGCATCGACCACGGCAGCCATTAGATCCACTCGATCGTCATCATTGTATGTGGCCACATTTGCCCGTTACTCATCGGTAAGGGGTGTATCGAGCCCATAGGTGCTGGCCAAGTCAGCACCAGCTGTAAAGATAACCGATAATGCAGTTAGTTGCTCCTTGGTTTTCTGAAGAGCTTGTCGAGAAAGTGTAGGCGGCGTATAGAAAAACTCTTTCAAGTCTTTTTCTTTGTACTTTGGCGGGGGGCGAGCAGATACCATGTTGGCCTTTGACTTCCGGCGAGCGATCATATATAAGAATAAGACGACAACGGAATTGACATCATCCCAAGAGAATGGTCCAAATGCCGCCTTATCACCTTGAAGATCGCGTTTAAGCGGCCAGCGAGCGTCAGTAGGACGGCGTGTAACTGGACTGCCATCCCATTCAGTTGGCCCAAATAGGGCGATTTGAATCGAGTTCGCAAGGATGGTTGCTTCAATAGAAACTGCATTAGTCTCATCCGAAACTGTGCGATCAATAGAGCTCATCATCACAGGGATAAAAGTTGGCTTGTTACAGCCTTCCACAATGATCCGAAGCATCTCACGAGCAGAGTGATGCTCAGCCAAGAAAGTAATGACTTTGAATGGGCTCAGTCGACTGAGCTGTTTGTCGGACGTGCAAGAACCAAATGCCTCCTGGTTGTCGGACATAAACTCGTCGAATTTATTGGCTGAGGGGTCGTCCTCAGTTGCAGGAAGAGCCCAAGTGATCGAAACCTCTAGAAGTGAAATTCATTGTTTTTTTACCACATGTGACTCACAGGAAAAAAAAACAAATAAACAAGCATCACTCCAAGAGGTCCGTGTCTCAACCTGAATTCACAGCTGCAGTCGCAGAGTCACGTCCAGGCATCAGTCATGAAGTTACCTCGCAACTGTATTTACAAAGTTCTCTCGCAGCTGCAGTCACGAACTTATTTCACAGTCACCCATAAAGTTCCCTCGTACCACTAATTCGCTTTTAATACAATGTAAAACAAGGCTAACATTGAGAGGGTGGTTTATAGAAAGTGTATGCAGGAGTAGATGGGGAATAAACAAGAGAGAGAGGTGGTAGAAAATTGACATTCTGGTCTAGACCAATATATAGGGCAACCTTTAGTTTATTATCCTTTATATATATATATATATATATATTAGCAATTAATCCCCAATGAGCTAACAATATCAGTTCCCAAATCAGACATAATCAATATTAAAAATAATAAAACAATATACTAGTAAATAAGAAAGCTATATAGTTATATAAAGGGGTAAAAATGAAAGGGGGGAGGGGACAACTTCTCAAACAAAGAATTCAACGGTCTGACATCACATCCAATATCACAACGCATTGAACTTCTTCAGCCTTTCGTCTGACTGTAAGGCTTGCGCCCAGCTATATATAAGGTTCAATAATAGCTATGCCCGGCGATAACTCTTTCGTTGACATAACTCCTTTCATGAACCTTAAGATGAAACAGTGCAGTGTTTGAGTTTGCTGCATGCCGCCCAGCTATCAAACTTCTATTAATACCAGTTAAAGCATCAAAGCAATCATATCTGCCGAATAAAGATGGATTAGGACGAAGATTTCATGCGGGCGATGTAGATCTGGTGGTATATTCAGCGCCTGAGGGACAATCAAGCTTGCCTGAGGGATAATCAAGCTCGCCCTCGATATTATAATGTAAGTTTGGAGCATACCCATCGCCTGAATATTAGCTAACGACCATTTCAGTGTGGCAGACGGGGCCACAAGAAGGCCCAGTGTTTCGCGCCCTAGAATGGCCGCGGCGATGGTCCCAACTTGCCTCCTCCGCCGTCTACCACGCGCCAGCCATCTGTATTATCGACAGTCCCTGCTCAACCTGCTCAGCCATCTGTGTCGTCGTCTGTCCCTGCGCACCCCACCCAGCCCTCCCAGCCCCCCCTGTTTGGGGGTTTCCGGTCGCTGCCCCTGATGTTTGGAGACTTCCAGCCGTCGTACCCGTCGACATTCGGGTCCTCTGGGGCTGCCCAGCCGTCGACGCCGCGATGGAATTCGGCAGTCTAGACTGATACAAATTGACACAATCTTTTGATACAAATGACATCGCTGGCTGCGTCCGATGCCATGTGATGCTGCTGTCATAAAACGGTCGCCTGCAATATTCTGTTCCATAACCCCGGAAGTCGTTATTAGCAACTAGCTATGGTCAACTGAAAGTAGGTAGGCTAGAGATAATAACTCCAAGACGAAGGGTTTCGTATGGTGTATTATCTACAGTCCCTTGAGTAAGGTCTGGAAGTATTTCACGAAATCCTTGACGTCCCTTTGGCCGATGTAAATCTCTCTCATTGAGGTATCTAGCCCAGCATCTAGCTTACTGCCTCTCAGGTATTTATATTAGCTCTCAATAATCTGACAATAACGATCGCAGGCTTGAAAATAAGCAGTGTAATGTTTAAGTGTCTTATATTACATGTCGCCTCTACATCAAGGAATTAGCACCGTTTAGAACATCAAAACAATCATAGTAGCCGAACCAGGGTAGTATCAACTCATCGATTATGTTATGGGCTTTCTACAAGCTAGATCGAAACAAAGAAACTCTTCTCCCCATTCTTCGGCACCACCCTAGCCCGCCTCATAATCTCATCCTCACACGCCAGCCTGATCCGTTCCGTCGTGGCAGGACTCTCCAGCCTCAACAAACCGCCGGCATCCTCCGAATCTCCAACCTTGGCAGTGATCCCATTTGCGCTGCGTGCAGCACGAAGAGCATCACGTATCGCAAAGAACACGGCACTGCCCATGAACAGAGGTGGCTCGCCAATGCCCCTGCTGCGCTGGATAGTCCTCAGCTCCTTCCACTCGACATCTTTGAGCAGCGATACGTTGAACACCTGAGGGATGTCACGGTATCCGGGGATCTTGTACGCCCCCGGGCCACGCGTGAACAAATTGCCGGCCATGGGACCGTTCCGCAGCCAGAGCGACTCTTCCATAGTGAAGAGCCCCATGCCTTGGACAAACGCGCCCTGGATTTGGCCGTAGTCGATTGTAGGGTTGATGGACTGGCCAACATCCATCTTGATATCTGCACGAAGGCACGTCCACGTTCCAGTCAAGAGATCTATTTCGACCTCGGCCGCGGCAACACCCTGGGTAAAGTAGAAGAACATCTTTCCCTCATTCGTATCCCAGTTGTATCCAATCTCGGGCGTTTTATAGAAGCCCTGGGCACTGAGGTTTACCCTGTCAAAGTAGGCGGCGTGGGCAAGCTCCTTCATTGTGGCATCCGGGCCCAGCTTCTCCCTGTACGGTGCCAGTCTCTCGTTTAGTTGCTTGCAGGCATTATAGATAGCATAGCCGTTCAGGTCCGAGGAGGCCGAGGCGGCAGTGGAGGAAGCGTTTGCTACCGTGTTGGTAGCCGTCTCTGAGATGTGCACAGTTTCGATCGGTACTCGCAATGCTTGAGCAGCAATCTGTACCATCTTTGTGTGTAGTCCTTGTCCCATCTCGGTTCCTCCATGGGCAACTGTGATTTGTTAGCAGTGTTCTTCCAGAGTATTTAACGTTTAAGGAGTATAAACCGTAGAACTTACCCAAAATCGAGCCATCGTGATAGATATGGACTAATGCGCCGGCCTGGTTCAAGAACAGAGCAGTAAAGGAAATTCCAAACTTGGTGGGTATCAGGGCAAGTCCTCGCTGGCGCCACTTGTTGGATTCGTTAAACTTGGTAATAGCCTCTCTCCTCTGGCTATATCGAGACTCATCCTGGACTTGCTGGTACATCAAGGGAACAAACCAGTCCGTAAGCTTCTGGTTAAAGTGAGTGCTTTCGTCATCTTTGTAGAAATTGATCTCACGTAGCCTCTCGACCGGCATCCCCAGTCGATCGGCCACCTCCTCCATCCATGTCTCAGCAATGAACATTCCTTGCGGGCCACCAAATCCTCGGAATGCCGTGTTGGACATAGTATTCGTCTTGCAGAGGCGCCCCTTTAGCAGCACATTGGGAATCTTGTAGCAGCCGTCTGAATGTGTCATTGCTCTCTCGCACACAGCATGGGACAAGTCAATGGTGTGCCCAGCATTATTGTAGATGTTGCATTCGAGGGCTTGGATCTTGCCATCCTTGTTCACTCCAACCTTGTACTTGGCAAGGAATGGATGGCGTTGTCCCATTAGCATCATGTCCTCCTCTCGAGTGAGCATGTAGCGGACGGGCCTCCCAGTCTTTTTTCCTGCCAAGGCTAAAGCAGACGAAAGCAAGATGGACCTTGTCTCCTTCCCTCCAAAGCCACCGCCAAGTCTCTTTACGCGAACGTTGATCTTGTTTGCGTGCACGTCGCACACACGTGCCGCAAATACCTGCGTCTCGTTGGCGTTCTGGGTGCTTGCAAAGATCTCCATCTCGCCGTCCTCCGGCTTTGGTACGACAAGGGATGCGTTAGTCTCAAAGTAAAAATGCTCCTGGCCCCCCATCCGCACTGATCCAGTGAAGACGTGATCGGAGTCCTTGAATCCCTGTTCTATGTCGCCATTTTTGATCTCCCGATAAACGTTGTGGAAACTCTCCTGCTCAATGGCCTCCTCCATCGTGAGAATCGCCGGCAGGTCCTCGTATTCTACCTTGACAGCCCTCGCCGCTTCCCGCGCGCGGTTAGCGGTCGTAGCCAAAATCAAGGCTATGGGCTGTCCGGTAGTATTGACCACCCCGTCGGCAAAGAAGCGCTCGTCAAAGTTAGGTGGCCCGAATTTATTGGCCTCCTTGGAAGGCATGTCATCTTTGTCGACGTAATCAACCACACCGGGCATGTCCAGAGCATCCGTGTAGTCGATTGACAGAATCTTGGCGTGCGGTCTCGAGGACAAGACGTAACAGGCGTGAAGCTCGTTCTTCAGAGCCGGGATATCGTCCGTGTACTGCGCTTCGCCGGTGGTCTGTTTCAACGCCGCAAGGTGGGTTTTCGATTGTCCGGTAACTTCCAGTTTATATGCGTTTGCAGCTGTTGAGTCGACCTGGCCGGATGAAATCTCTCTTTCCACTTCCTTGATGGCTTGTGCGTCAAAATGGTCGCTCTGACCAGCAATACTCTCGAGGACGTCATGGTAAAATCTGTAAAAGAACCCAAACGCTAATGCCTTTCGGTACGATGCCATGCCTCCAGGCACACTGAAGGTCAGGTCAAAGTCATGTTCCAGCGCGTTCATTGTCCCCTCCAGAGTTTCTAACTCCGAAAATCGCTTGCCGACAATGTACTCCATTGCCTTCTTAGCGGCCACGGTCGTCGCGGCCATTCCGCCGTATATGAAGTTACTATCAAGGACGATACCCTCGTCGCTCAGCTTGACCTGCAAGGCGCCGGTCACAATGGCGATGTCATCGTCTTTCCGCTTTGACTGCTTATATGCCCGGATGTATTCACCCTTTTCAGCCGTGATTGGAATTCTTATGGAGGCGATGATCGAGTCTTGTGGTAGTGCCGTCTTCCGATACCCAGTGAAAAACCGCGACATGGGTATTTCGGTCTCCTGGGTTGCTGACTTGGCAACGATGATACTGTTGGCCGCCCAGAGCACAGGGTTGAGATCAGAGATGGGCGAAGCAGTGTTCAGGTTTCCTGCGGGCGAGCCAACGTTGCGAATTTGCCGGCCAGCGAATAGTTTCAGCTGCTTCAGCATTGCCTTGAAGATCTGCGAGCGCTGTGGTCCGTACTTTTCAATGGCCATCTCGCAAATCCGTTCTAGATCGGTCAACACCACATTCCCGCCTATCTCGAGGCAGTTTTGGTTGAAAGAGTACTGCCGTAGCTCGGCAATGTCGCCCACATATACCGACACTGGGTAAGAGATGGCCTTGAATCTTGTTTCAATGTGCGTTTCGGTACTTCCGCCGATAATCTTGGCCTGCGGGTAGGCCTTCTTGATCAGAAGCAGCTGGTCCAGAGTCACCGGTCGATACCAAGTCTTCCTCTTATTACCAAAAGCCAGTGGCCGCATCTGATGCTTTTTCAGAGCAGGTGGGAATATCAGTTCTGTTTCGGGATTGTACTCGATAAATCCAGGAGGGGTGAATCGTTTGACAGGCTGATCGCCACCGGAGCCGTTAGAGCCGTTTACTTTGCAGCAATCGGCGCCCTTTCCACATACTCGGTCGACGCTAAACGTTCGCGTAGTCTCTCCAATGGAAAAGTACCCGGTACAGCGACAGAGATTACCGTCGAAAGCCTCTTCAATGTCCTCGTCCGTAGGTGCCTCGTTATTCCTCAGCAGGGCGTACGCACTGGCGATGAATCCAGGAGTGCAGAATCCGCACTGCGAACAGTCGCCCTTTGCAAAACGTTCCTGTATGGCGTGGGGGCGTTTGCTGCTCCCAATGCCTTCGACGGTGATGACATGCTTCCCATCGAGACTGACCAAGGGCGCCAGGCAAGCGTTGATGCTTGCGTGGTAGATATTTTTGGTTGTAGGGTTATACTGGCTAACGACAATTGTACAGGCACCACAGCCTCCCTCACCGCATCCTCTATCACCCGTTATGTTAGTAAGCTTACACCATCAGGAGATCCGAAACGTACAATTTAGTGCCCGTGAGGCCGATCCCTCGCAGCCATTCTAGGACCGTGATTTCCGGGTCGATATCATCTAGAGTGACGCGCGTGCCGTTGAGGAAGAAGCGTAGACAGTCGTCGTACTTGGCGGTCAGAGACGCCAGAAGCTCAGGGTGCGGACTCTCCTCATCCGCGGTCGCACTCGGTGCCATCCTTGCGCGGGCTGTCTTTAATTGTTCCCGTGTTGTTCAACGTCAAAAACTCCTCCCAATTTCCCAGTTAATTCAGATAGGTGCTACCTCTTAATAGGTAGTTAACGGTGGCGGGTCGGTGAGTGCAGGTGAGACAGGTCGGAGATAGTCACACGACACACAAAAATGAAGTTTGTTTCCTATCCCTCCTTCCGTCTCAGTATCCCCTTCGAAACGATATCTAGGATGTAGGAAAGTGCAGAGTTGGGGATGACAAAGCTATCATTTTATCATGTGGCGAGGGTCATCGAGGTGAGTGAGGCAGGGTCTTGTCAAATCGGGCCTCAGGAGGGTGCCAATCCACCGGTTCACTGTTAGCTCTAGTTCTGGGGCTCGTTCTAACCGGCTGCAGCCACGGCGGAGGTGTCAATCAAAGCCAGAGGACAAGATTGGCACCGTGTCAGGACTCCCTCCAATATGTTCGCTCTCGCCCGTCCACATGACAGCAGATGGCCACCTATGTACAGCGTCCAACTGCCTTCCTAATCGCTTCCCCGCGAATCTCCACGCCAATGAGCATCATCCATCTCGATCTAGCGCCTCCCCACATAAGCCAGATAACAGCGACAGGCATCATCATTTAGACAGCGGCCTATTGGCTGCGTTGCTCGCGTCGGCCGGCTCCGTCATCGACTCCACTCCATCGGCCTCCTCCACCTCGAAAGCGATGATAGCTGTGACTTGGTCCTGTAACATACAGCAGCGCTTATCTATGTACAATCTCACCGGGAATCGTTAGATAAATCGGGCAGGTGGTTCAGATACGATCAACATGGGTCTGATTGGAAGCCAGAGTCAAGGACCATAATGCCATATGGACTGCGATCCATTCAAGTAGCAATGAATCCAATCAAATGTATGATTGATTTATTGTCACATATTTGTTAGATATTTGTTACAAGCAAAGCCAAATAAGAAAGGCAAATAATACGTTTCCACCTTGTGTAATTGGCCGTCTCCTCAGACAAGGAGACTGAGTCGGTGTGGAAGCCGCCGAGCCTAGCGAATAGAACCCTATGCTTATTTGTGACTTGTTGACGGGTCAGAATGACCTCTCCATTGGACTGGTTTATTTTTGGATATGCGACTTCGAGTTAGGACGTCGAATTTGGTCAAATCGATTGCGTTGGAGTGTTTTCTAAAGATATGAGTAGTTATGTCTCATGAAATCCATCCCACTAGACTCACCCTTTTAATGGTAATACTCACCAAGAGACACATATCATCACAGGGCAAAGTCAGAGTATCCATACAATTCTCAATTCTTATTCACTTCCGGAAGTTTCAGATGCTCACGGTAAGAGTGCATTAAGATCTGCCATTCTTAAGAAGAGCAACGCAAAATCATGCCCAATAGACCAGCAAGACTACTCATTTCATTAACATGATTATTCAGAGTTTTTACAACATCTAACATTCCCCATATTATGCATGCCATATCAAAAAGGTCCGAGATCAGGCATCGCGGCCGACGCCGCTTGCCGGCGCTAGCTCCGCCCCAGCAGTTGAGGCAAGTATTGAAGATTCTCCAGAGTGGGCCGCGATGAGTTCTAAACCGGATACTTCTTCTCGAACAGATACTTAATGTTCATTCTGTTCTTATCCAATACGATAGTGTCACTGGCATGTATTGTCTATAGCTAGCTGTCTATCATCACTGACTTTTCTTACTCCTGAATGTACTTCTTCAGCCCCCTCAGACGGTTCTTCGCCTCCTCCAAAACGCTATCCTCCTTGCAAACAGCAAAACGGATGTAATTCTCGGCGAGGTGTGCGTTCTCGGCCGTATAGAACTCAGTCGGGGGGATGGCGGCCACGCCAACCTCTTGGATCAGGAACCACGCCAGCTTGAAGTCCCGCGGGCGGTTGATCACATGTGGCGGGAAAGGATAGTCCTCGGGCAGCTTGACCTTGGCCATATTTACGAGCACAAAGTATCCACCCTCTGGCTCCGAGTAGGGCATGCCCAGCTCATCCCAGACGGCATTGAGCCTATCTATCTTGCCCTTCATCTCCTTGATCGTCTCGTCCCAGAAGCCCGCCGCCTCGGCCTTCTCGAAGCCAACTGCGCAGGCCTCTTGTAGAGGGGAAGGAGTGACGAAGCAGATACGGGTGTGAGCAGCTGACACGTACTTGATGAGGTGCTCAGGCCCAATCAACCAACCTGTGATGCGAATTAGAACTGCCCATAACGTCTTACACTTTTATTTCCCTCCACTCACCCACTCGCCAGCCGGTGGCGTAAAAGTTCTTGCCGGCAGATCCCACGGTGAGGGTCAAATTGGCAATCTCAGGGGACAGTGATCCAATTCGCGTAAACGGAACATAGAACAGACGGTCGTAGACTTCATCAGAGAGAATTATGATCTCGTGCTTGACGCACAAGTCTCCAATCTTCTGCAACTCTTCCCTAGAATAGACCTTTCCAACGGGGTTGTCTGTCTACTCGTTAGCCTGGAATCCTTCAATTTACTCACAAGAAGTAAACTCACGTGGGGTGTTCAGAACAATCATCTTAGTCTTGGGCGTGATGGCTTTCTCCAGCTCATCAAAGTCGATAGTCCAGTCGGCAGCAGAGGAGGTCTTGGTAGCGCCAGTTGCAGGGGGGTGCATGGGCACATACACCACCTTGCCGCCAGGCATCTCAATGTTGGAGATGTACTGGTCAAAGAAAGGCTCAAAGACAATGACCTCGTCCCCATCCTCGATAAAAGCCATGAAGGCACTCAGCATACCTAGATCATTCAAACCACGTACATTAACAAGGCGTTCAGACTACAAGGCACGGAATGAATGCACGTCAAGTACGGCTCCCAGCATCTCACCTTCATTGGCACCCGTGGTGACAGTCACCTCAGTCTCGGGGTTGATCTCGCGCCCCCAGAATGGAGAGTATGCATCGGCAATGGCCTTCTTAAGCCGAGGACGTCCCTTGGTGTGACAGTACTGGTTGCAGTCAACACGATCCAGGGCCTCCTTGGCCGCGTCAAGAAGGAAAGAGGGCGGGTTGTAGCCGAAGAAGCCCTGTCCCATATTCACAATGGGCTGCTTGGGCGAGGCTGCCGCAGCTTCGTTAATGATAGACCTTGCATGCACACCAGTCAGAACCCCGCGGACCGTCTCGTCAAATTATGATAAAGTCTCACCAGACATCTTGCCGTTGGCCAGACACCCTGGCGGCGGGCTTCAACTTTTGACTCAGGCCCATGCTGATTGCAGAATGACGAAAACCCCTTGTCAACGATGGCACTATGGCTTTGGTTGGAGTTGCAGTGGTGAGAAGTCGAGAGCGCACAAGAAGAAAAGACGACATGGAGGCTACTAGTAATCACTCACTTGCCGATTGCTTTGCTGTGAAGTGACCCCGGCTCTCCTAAGCAGCTGAGCGAGTGGAGGGGTGAGGGGCACACGGAATAGGGAGAAAGCGTGCGGGCTAAGTTGCTTCCTTTTTTTTCTTTCCCTTGCTATACTACGTACACAGCAGACTCACGCTCGGCAATGGGCAGCGAAATCATGCGCCTAGCGAAGGCTTCTGGCGGATATCCAGCGAAAAAGGGCAACAAGGGAAATAGTCCGTCGCTGCTGCCCGAATTGCGACATCACCAGCGACGCACAGCCAATAGACGTGCGGCATGACTAAGCATTTGCGTGGGGCCTGTCGATGGCGTCAGCGGAGGAGCTCCGTTTTGCTCCAGCCAGCCCCGAGATCGGACTCCACGTTGGAACACAGCCGACAGTATCACAACGGCGGAATGGACATGGCAAGGCAGAGAGCCGGTGTGCTTTCAAGAGATTAATTCATACCCATAAGTTCCATTCAGTCAGCCTCTGGTTGGCTACAAACTCCAAGCGCCTACCGTTCCCGGTAAAACAAGTTCTTCATCGTACAATGTGAATGTCAATCCGCAACTCCCCATTGACCGTCTCAAAGATCAAAACACCCATTATGCATGCCTTCCTCCGTAGAGCCCACATGCTGCATGTCATCCGTCCAAACGCCATAGCCCTCATCAAGGCCAGTAATAATATTAATAAGCAATTCCAATCCCCTCCCATTCGGGAAACAGGCAACAATGCGGATAAGTATTCTCCAGGCCGGAAAGTAAAGAACCTATCATACAGGGCCGGGATGCCCTGACTTGTGATAATCGATCACATCATTAGTTGGCACCAGGCTTTTCAACCACACGGCGAAGGTTCGCCATCATTCTCTCCATAAACTCCATGGATTCTCGTCCAGGAACATCGGGAAAGTCCTGAACTTCGCCGCTAGAGTCGTGTTCGTTTTCGTCGATACTACCCTTGGTTGGAGTCGACGTCGCCTGTTGCGGTATCTGGGTATCATCGCTCACAGCGACAGGCGTTACTGCAGTAGAAGGGCCAGGCTGGACCTGGATTGACAGTTCCGACTCTTTTGCTCCAACTTGCGTTGGCGGGTGGGCTTTTGCTGCAGCTTGATGAGGCGTCATCCCTGAGAATTTAGGTATAGGCACAGGCGTGACAGTCCTGTGCGGCGTGATCCCCGCTACTGTTATCGACCGTTCTCCTTTATCAGCCGTAGGAGTCGAAGAGGCCGACACCTCAGAGCCCGGGGAGCTTGTCCCTTTCGACGTCATGGCGGCCAAGAAGTTTGGCGGCAAAGGAACGGGTGACTCCTTTGCAGGAATCTATGTGCGCCATGTTAGCATGCATCAACCTCAACTTATCTCGACGCTTCTTGCCTTGTACACTCTCGGGGCTGGAGGTTGCTTAGACTTCCTAGCCGGGGGAGTTGTCGTTGATTGTGGACTTTGGCCCTGTTGCTGTGTTGTGGGTTTGACCGGTTGCCCGGCACTCGATGGCATCTGATAACCCGTAGCAACAGTTATTGACTCGGGTGGCCCAGCTTGATAGGCCTTTTGGGCGACGGGTGCTTGAGCACCTTGCCCTACTGGGATGTAAGAAGCCGGCTGCATGAACCT